CTCTTGCGGGACACTCTGGTGGGATACTCTTGTGGGACACTCTTGTGAGACACTCTTGTAGGAAACTCTTGTGGGACACTCTTGCAGGACACTCTTGTGGGACACTCTTATGGGACATTCTTCTGGGACACTCTTGTGGGACACTCTTGTGCGACACTCTTGTAGGACACTCTTGCGGGACATTCTTATGGGACACTCTTGTGGGACACTCTTGTGGGACACTCTTGTAGGACACTCTTGTGGGTCACTCTTGTGGGACACTCTTGTAGGACACTCTTGTGGGACACTCTTGTAGGAAACTCTTGTGGGGCACTCTTGTAGGACACTCTTGCGGGTCACTTTTGTGGGACACTCTTGTAGGAAACTCGTGTGGGACACTCTTGGACACTCTCGTGGGTCTCTCTTGTGGGACACTCTTGTAGGACACTCTTGTGGGACATTCTTGTGGGACACTCTTGTGGGAAACTCTTGTGGGACACTCTTGTAGGACACTCTTGCGGGGCATTCTTATGGGACACTCTTGTGGGACACTCTTGTAGGAAACTCTTCGCGCCACGCTTCGCAAGACGAGCGTTTCGCACGAGACTTCCTCCAAAAGTCACGCGTTAAGTCTCCAAAACAAGCGTTCCGTACGAGACTTCCTCCAAAAGTCACACGTCAAGTCTCCAAAACGAGCGTTTCGTACGAGACTTCCTCCAAAAGTCACACGTCAAGTCTCCAAAACGAGCGTTTCGTACGAGACTTCCTCAAAAACTCACACGTCAAAGTCTGCAAAACGAGCGTTTCGTACGAGACTTCCTCCAAAAGTCAAGCGGAAACACCCATCGGAGCACACACATCACGCAGCCCTGCCAAGCAGTTTCGCGATTCCAGCACCTACAAACAACACTCGCTCACACGCCAATCCCAATGTGACAGCGACATTCACCTCTACCACAACTCACAACCTCACGATTCCCTGCGCCTGCCACGAATCTTTCCGCATCCACACGTCTAACGCGCACAAAGTACTGCGCCTGCCACGAAATGTCACCTCCGTCACACCTCGCAGCCTCACGATTCCCTGCGCCTGCCACGAAAAGTGACAATATCATCTCATGTGAGCTTCAACAAAATTTGCACCACACCACACGTTTGGAATGATTTCGGCCCGTTGTGAGCACACTCCCATCCACCAAAATCGCCATTTCAGCTGAGACTTGTCACGAAAACCGAGCTTCGATGCCACACCCTGAAACGCAAATCCCAATGGCACGGCCACATCCAACACCCCAAAAACACAACTCTCCAAACGCTAATCCCAATGGAACTGCGCAGCAAACTGCAGATCTCACAAAACGCTGCGCCTGCGCAGCGAAATACATCACGTTTCTTGCGCGACATGTCATGGTCATGCAAATCGCAATAGAATAGCGGCGCAAACGGACACGTGACACATCCATGAAAAGTCACTTGCAAAAGCTTCCCCCAATGGCCTCGAATTTGAGACGCGACAACGACGACAAACGACGAGAGACGACGACACGACGCAAGCCATGCAAACACAGCTCCAACCTCCAGACCCACAACTATAAACGGGAACCCTTCGCTACGCATTCGGGAAAAACATTGTCGCCGTACGATCGATCGTGAACGGCTGGTCCGACACTCTTAAGGGACACACTTGTGAGACACTCTTGTGGGACACTCTTACAGGACACTCTTGTGGGACACTCTTGCGGGACACTCTTGTAGGACACTCTTGTAGGACGCTCTTGTCGGACACTCTCGTAGGACACTCTTGTGGGCCACTCTTACGCGACACTCTTCTGGGACACTCTTACACGACACTCTTGTAGGACACTCTTGTGGGACACTCTTGTAGGACACTCTTGTGGGACACTCTTGTAGG